ATACCCAGGTAAAAACGTACGTATAATGAAAGCAGAGACAGTTTTTGGGTATTGGTATCAATATGAAAACTTTATTTGAAAATATAGTTACCAATCAATCCACTCCAGCAGTTTTAACTTTGGTCTATTTAAAATAAGATAAAACAATAAACCCTCTAATACGGTTTACTAGTGTCGAAGTGAAAACTATGGAGACTTCACAACGGTCAACGGTGCATACTCGAGAGTTATCCCTACGCAGCCGGACAGCCGTTTACTGGCAACGTTGTTATTTTAGTTTCTTGCTTGCACTAGAGACAATCCAGCGAGACGTGTAACTTCAATGTATTTTTTTTGTACGGTAAAAGTTATTTGGGCGATTGTAACCACAACCAGTCTATGATGGCGCCACTAGTAAATAGCAGGAAAATTAAAAATGCTTTAGGGCGGGAAATTCAAACATAGATTCAGAAATAGTTTTTCTATACAAATTTACAGGAGAAACAAAAACTATTGTTTCACTGTATATTAAAAAAATATAAAAGCTTCCAATTACATCAAATTTTTTATCATATAAATAATCATTTTAATAAAGGAAGTTTTAATCAGTTTAATATAAGCAGTGAACATAGTTTTTATTGCTCTTGTAAATTTCACTAAAAAAGAAACTTCAAAATTCTATTCATTATTAAATATTTAAACTTGGAAAAATAATACACCAAACTCTTTTTCTATAAATTATATTTTTGTAAGGTACAGAAAAACAAACTACAATTGCTTCGTTTAGAAAGTACCTCGTATAATTTTGTGGCAAATTACAAAGAAAGTAACAGTTGTTATATATTCATAATATATTTAAAAACGAATGTAACAAATATTTCATAAAGTACAGAGTATATCGATACCTTTTTGCCAGACTATCATAAGTGCTATTTGAACAAATGTCGCTTACGTTAGTCTGGCAAAAAGGTATCGATATGTTATGACTGTTTATTTTATTAGAAAGCATGGAAACGAAACAAACACACACATACACTCAACACAAATGTATAAGGCCCGAGTCGAGTAAGTTCCCATCCTGTAAACTAGATCGAAACCTGCTAGACCCATTCCGTATACCCCCTGCTAACTCCTCTTAGGGTCATCAAGATCAATAGATTTATATGCCATGCCTTCTAAAAGGGAATGAAGGATGACATACTATCATCATTTAAACAGGACGTTGCTGAAGGCTTACACCTGTTATTTCGTTTGTTTGTGTATCTTGTGCGTGTGCATTCCTGTTGTGTCCCCAGTCATGTAAATGTTTTCCTAGTCTCCTAATTTGGTTACTAGGTGGACCTTCTCCAACTAGTAGTCTAATCTATTTGATCTGTTCTGCAGCAGGAGGTACTTTTCAAACACAGCAAATAATATTATTAATAATAAACACTATTTAAAGATGAATACATTTTTGTAATTTTTTTGTCATTGCCCCTTACCTGTCTCTTAGACCACCAGGATATACCTATTTTCCATATTCCCTTAATTATAGATTACCTTACAATGTTTGAATGAATATAACATTTTACCCATGAAAAATCTAATTTCGTATTTAACTCTTTTTCAATTTTATTTGAAACAATTGGCACCTATATTACAATTTATTATCAAGGAAATCTTCTAATAAAGTTATAGCAAATCCTACTTAAACTACTGGTTGTTCTGCAGGATAAATTAACTTTTCTTGAGTTTGATCTCTCTCTAAAATCCAAAACCGACCTGATGTCCCCAAATTTATTTTCCAATGCATCCTGATTTAAAATTCTGCTCTTCTGTGATTCAATTTTTTTTCCTTTAGAGTGGCTATTAGAGGTAAGTGTATGTAAGAAATAGCCAATTTTTTGGTCGGCACCCATTGACACATTGTTAATTGACAATATGAGAAACATTTTTTTTTAGTTTCTGCTAATCACAGTATTAATTAGTGAGCAGAACTGTGTTTGTATTCAATACAGTCCTGGATGTTTTCACACCCCAATTTACTATCATAAACAGTAATCTCCTTTCATGAACAAATCATATATAGCCAACTCCAATCTTAAATATCAAGTACAGGAAACTCCAATATATATATATAGACAATATAAATTCAAAATCCTACGGCGATTATGACGGCAATTTACATAAAATAATTTATTTACACACTTAAGAGACAAAACAGTAATTTTATGTAACGTCCTAATATTGTTTAAATAGTTTTTTTGTAGTGGAAAATTTAGAAAACTGGACTTTGCTACATTTGATATTAGATGCCTGAAATGTAAGTTAGTGTTACTATTTAATATTTACCCAAAGCTTTCTTTTCCTCCATTTTTCTAACGTCGTCTATGCGTTGCCTGTGTGCAGAATCCAAATCAATTTGTTTCCTAACCGCCACCCTCTTAAGTTCGTGTTTTCTATCGCTTCTTGTCTTGTGATGTTCTTGGATTTCTTTAAATGATTCCTCCAATAATTGTTTTTTCATTTCCAGTTTTTCTTTCTATTTTAATAAAAAAAAAATCAACCGTTTATTACTTTAGTAGAAGTTTTTTACAGTTTTTAAAATTATTTTGTGTCATCTAATGCCTAGAAGATATATTTTCCAAACGATTGAATATATCCGTAATGACACCTATACTAATAAAAATTAAACCGAAACAACATGTCCAATTATAGTACAAAGACTTATCTCAGAAGTATCATTGTAAAGTCCCCTGACACAAGAGTATCGCATTTTTAGTTACATCTTGAATGTGTCTTCTTATTTCAGTTGCTCTTTGCTGTTGCTTAGCAGCGTAAATTTGATTAAGGTGCGTTTACACGAATACAAGAAGTCACTTTGAAATAATAAGATTACCTGTTGAGAATAAATAAAAAAACCTTGTAGGAATCTAAGATAAACTTATATGTGAAAATAAAATGGATTTAGCGTTAAAATTTCCCCTTCTTTACCCATGCTTGTCACACAGTAAAATGACTCAATAAAAACGGATCGGAAAAATTCAATGGTATGAACAAGCCTAATTAGTAGGTAATTTTGTTAAAGCAAAGAGTACAAAATATAACTATAAAAGAGAAGTCACTCGCATCATTTACAAAGGAAATCGCGCTTTAAATGCGGGCCGACAAGTCGGCGTTTTTTCAAAGAGTACATAACTAGTTCGGATAAACCGGGGTTAAGCGGTAAGACGCGGCGGCGATGATAACAGCCAATACACAGAGGAATCTAACGTAGCGGAGCAAACGAGCCTTACGCGTTGAACTACACCGGTATACTGCCGATCGAGAAAGGACTGTGGAGGACTGGCGGCTGATCGCGTTAGAAGGCGGTAATTGGGCGAGTGACTCCTCTTTTATAGTTATATTTTGTACTCTTTGGTTAAAGGTTGTTATTTAGATTTACTATTAAAACATTATAAAAATTTAAATTATAATTAAAATTAATGTTGCATAACATAAAGTTACTTACCATACCGTACGCCACTGGCAAAATTTAATTAACAGATTTTTGCTGTAAGGTTATTTAATGACATAACACCAAACATGTTTGCACATTTTAGTAAAATTATACCAAATAATAAAAAAATTTCAACTTTTAACACCCAAGTATTTTTAAAACGAGTTACATTTTATGGTAGTGTAGCCAGTGGCACTTTAAGGTGTGTTATTTTTGAAAGACAAAATTACAAAGTTTTCATTTATTCTTTCCTGTACAAAATGGACATATTTTGCTGCAATCTTTGCAGTGGCATAAACCTTTATGGCTTAGGTCGTTAAGAGCTTACATATGGTATATGCGACCCGGGTTCAGTTACCGATAAATACTCTTTTTTTAAAATATGAAAAATTTAAAAATTGGACTATTGTTGTTTAATTATTAATTGTTGTTATATTATGATAAATAAAATGTATTTAAAATAAAAAAACAGCATTAGTCGTACTTTTCAGTTTTCATATTTTTTCAAAATAAATACATAAAAAAGATTTCTATCTGGAATTTAACCCAAGTTGGGAAATCCAAACTTAAACGCTTAACAACCTAAGCCTTGAAGGCACTTATGGTTAATTATGTTATACAAGTATTAAAAGTATTTTTTTCTGCACCCGTAATATAATAATGCACTTATATGCCCATAATCCGTTTTTTAATGATACCCATTATGATACAGATTTTTCATAACGATACAGATTTTTAATCAATAGAAACCGATAATTTTTCAATCAAGCATGCTGTGCATTTGACGTTTCTCCTAGGTTCCTATGTAATTCTTTTAGTTGTCAAAATCAGTACGTATTAAATTTTTTTTGATAGCTAAACTTTGATAATTATATTATCAAAATGTCTGATATCAGTGATATAAAAGACTTACCATCGACTCCTCCACACATATCGGAGAAAGCAGAAAATGCAGTACAAAATATTTTGCCCCAAAAATCTATGGTAAAACCAATACCCGAGGTAATAGTATTAATTACAATTTTGTAGAATTTTTCATAGAAATGCGAATAATTACTGTTATTGCGTTCAATACAAATATAAATATAATATCGGGTGTAGACAAAATAGCGTAAGCAACTCTTATGTAATTGTTATGAATACACTCGCATAAACCATACAAAACTCGCCTTTGGCTCGTTTTGTATCGCCTTCGGCTCGTTTCGTATCCCGGTTAATCCTCGTGTATTAATAACCATCATTACATGATCGTTGCATAATATACTATTAAAAAACCGACTTCAAAATCGTGCGGATGCCATCGCCACATCTTAATCAAATTTATATGGGACCATCCCCAAGGTATCGTCTTACTAACAAAAAAAGAATCATATAAATCGGACAAGATGGTAAAGAATTATCGCAAAAGATACATAAACAATGAAAAGTGAGAATTTTCTTATGGAACCAATTATTAGATTTTAACCAAATTTATGCGACCACCTCTGAAATACCGCCTTTCTAACAAAAAAAATTGCAATCGGGCACCGTGTTAAAGAATTATCGCTGAATATACATAAAAAAAAATATACCGACGAATTGAGAACCTCCTCCTCTTCTGAAGTCGGTTAAAATTATGTGACATTAGCATTTTTGACAATAGCTTCTTTTAAAATACCGTCATTGTCCACTCCACTGCTGGTGTGTCTGCAGAAAAGTATTTCTATCTTTTACAAAACAAGAAAGATAAACAAAATTGTAAATTTGCCTTTTGAAAATGTGTACCAAAAAAGTGTTAGTGGCTCCCATGCCATTAAATAAGCCTTTTTCGTTTATTCGTCTCTTTTAAATAAGATAATTTAGAGTTTATTTAACGTCGGCCTATTTCTAACCACGAGATCCAACAAGGTCCAACCAGATGTAACGAGCCCAACATCCATGGACTCGGGACCGACGGCTTTATATCTCTTCCGAAAGATGGCACATTCCACGCAATATTTCGTACGCATTAATATAGCGCCCATCAGCTGTGGTATGCAACTACGCAAGTAGTTTGTTTGCGCTTTATAGGTACGCTGACTTTACAAGAATAGTCACACATCCAAATATTAACTGTAAGTGGCACTACTTGACTGCAGATATCTATAAAAAATAGTGAACCTGTTAAGTCAGGCCGCTGATTTTTCAAAATAAACATATACGCTAATGGCTTGAAGTAAAAATGTAGGCAATTATTTTTATTATTATATTTAAATGCTAAAAGTTGGTTTTAAAACACATTTTTACTAAACGAATTCTGATTAGTAAGCACTTGCGAGGCTACGTGGCCGCTCGCAAAGCGACTTGCTATGAGCAATCTATATAACACACATACTTTGATCCCAGTATATATACCAATCAGTATTGGCATTATGAGGTGGCACGTTTGATCTTTAAAAGTAGAAATTTTAGTTGACACTTGACGTTTTCGGGATATGAAAAGTTTTCTTTACACGGACTTGGTATACCTGGGTAGTTGAATTTTTGTTCTGCTGCTTTTCAAATTTGTGTGTATGAGCGAGATGTGAGATATCTTTATAGACAACGGTTGAACAACTTAATTACTTTGAAGAAGAAAACAGATTAGATATCAGGGCAGTCTTCGCAAATGTGAGAGGGCAGAACCGTTTTAAATTTTTTTTATATATGTGAAATAATACTTTTTAGTGAAAAGTTTAATTACTTTTAGTTCAAAATATAACGTTAGCTTATCAAGGAAAATATATAACACACAAGGTTAGAGTAACAAAATAGAGGTTTTGCTTTATTTCTTAAGAATTACTCTAATCTAAAACTTTTCTATGTTGTAGAAATTTATTCTATACGTTATTTAGGTACTTACTGCAAAATCTATAGGAAAGTATGTAGTTTTAAATATAAAAATTTATAATGGAGACATATTTAGTGTAGTTTTTTTTTACAAATATATACTCAGTGACTTATTTTAGTGAATGAGTTCAAGTATGGCAGACTAAAATCGTTACTTTTTATTATGAATTTATTTAAAAATGGGAACTATATGTATATGGTTTTCGTAGTTTTTACACTTGTAATAAAAATATCAAAGTTATGTTTATTGGCCGTTTACTACACACAGCAAATTCATAGACAATACATATCACTATTTGACATTCTTATTAAACTCATTAATTTAAAATTAACTTTAAACTGAGTGACTACACACAGAATTGTTTGAAAACAGCCATAAGTTATAATTTATTTATTGGATACTATAAAAAGTTAATAGTAGTTACATGTAGAGTTAAGTAACAAGAACTTTAAAAACAAAACAAACCTTTATATCTAGTGAACTTAATTTAGTAAAGTCCTCAACTTTCTTAGGATAACAATAAAGATATCTATTTAGACCTCGCTAAAAAACTCATTGGTAACAGCCATTATCTTGTTAAAAGTAAATATACTTGGACTTTTCTTATACAATTTCCTTTCTTTTGGTATATAAAAATACCGTAAACGCTACCAAAATATAGTACCAAATAATAAAAAAAAGGCAAGAAACTTACAATATTTTTTTTAAACTTACCTTGTCATAACATTTAAATGTTGTATTTTTTAAAAACTACGCAATTTAATAAACTGAATTTCAGCACCTCAGAGGTAAGGTGTGTTAAGTCACCAAATCTACATTTATCAGAAGAGGCATTTTAAAGTTCACTTATTATTTTAACAAACCGTTAATTTAATAAATATTGTGATCTTTTAAAAGTCAATTGTTTGGGCGATTTATTTCAATTTTTGTTAGATTTTTTTACTTTATCCTAAAATTTTGACTTTGACATTATTATTCCAAATTTACAATACTTGGTTTGGGACTTACCGAGTGTTCCATCATTGTTTTGGCGAAATGATGCAACTAGGAAGTTAAATCTATTTTCCACTATATATAATTTAGTATGGTAAATACACAAGTGGAGAAAACTCTTTTCTATGAAAAAATGTGACTTAACACACGTTACCTCTGAGGTGCTTATTTTGACTTAATTAAAGTGTGATCTTTTCTTAAT